ATATATAAATATATAAATATATATAATAATTTGTGCTAAAATTTAGTGGTCCGTTTTTTTGCGGATGAATGTATATTAAAAATAAAAAATTTTTTATATTATTTCTTTGAATATTATTGGATTATATTTTTTTCGAACATTATAGCATATTTTACCTAGCACTGTAAATATCACAAAAGGAGATTTCTATGATATGCTGAAACCTTGGTTGGGCAATGGACTTTTGACATCTACAGGTAAACGTTCAATAAACTACATATTTATTTTTCTCACATATTTATTAGGACTGGGCATGTATTCGAAATACTTTTATTTACAAAACGGTATTGGTAAGACAATTTTATTTTGTATTTTGTGTTTGTTCGGACTACATAAAATATTTTGTATTTTGTATTATACGGAATATATAAATATATTTTATATTTTGTATTTCAAATACTTGTATAATTACAAATACAAATCAATTATCTTAATCTTATCTTAATCTTATCTTAATCTTTTATTTGAATAATGGTATACAAAAAAATGGTAAATATTCACATTTTAGGGAAGATTTCTCCGATGGCCTTGACCTTAAAATATGATATGAAAATCATGAGCCTAAGTAATCTCCAACAAGTTTTATTCGGCTAAAGAAAATTAGAAAAAATAGTGTCTTATTTCTGAATCTATATATAATATTAGAGACTATTCCATATCTTTCTTGCTTACGTAACTTTTTACGTAAACGATTTCCACTACCTTCCCCCTTAGAGACACATGACTTTTCATGCGAAGCAAATTCTATCCTATCTCTCCAAGTTGCTTCGCGTATAAGTGCGCCCCTGAGAAAGAGATGGGATGGGAGTCGCTTCGCATGTAAGTTGTACACCTCTCAATCGAGGAGAGGTGCGATGAAAGTTGCTTCGCATAAATAGTAAAATATATTTTAAAGCAGAAAATTTTATTTGTATATATAAAAAACATGAAAAAGATATGAAAAAAATCATTTTTCAAACCCTTCTTCTCAATTTTTTAATTTTTTAACAAATAACGAGCGACGGCTAAAATTGGAGGTTACTCAGAGTCATGATCTAGACAACATATGTCAAGGTCAACGTCATCAGAGAGGTCTTCTCTAAACATTTATCCAAAAAATTTTCGATCTTTCAATTTTCAATACAAAATACGTAATCCTTTCGTGCTCCGTTAAAATACGAAGAACAAAATGCACTTGTATTGCAAATAATATGTTTTAAATAAAAATATTTCAAATACATCTAACCTTAGCTTATTTTTATCATGTACGCTTCTTTAATATATAATCATTCATGAAAATATTTAGATAAAATAAAAAAGGAGATCTCTGTTTTCGTCTAATGTAAACATATATGCATTTTTGTTTCAATACAGGAAAGAATATATTTTAGTCGTTATGATAAATATACATTCTTTCTAAAATTTTTAGAATGAAAGCTGTAAAGAGCGGAATCTCACTCTTAAAGATTAAAAATTGTCTCTTTTTCGAGACAGGTTCAATTAGAGAGTTTGACTGTAGAGTTAATTTGATTATTTATGTTGCTCACGTGCTAGAAAATTGTACAGAGTTTCACGAACTTTTTTCTTATATATATCGTTAATATCCAGTATCAACATGTTAAAAAAACAGAATATCAAAAACAAAAATAAAATCTATTTTTTAAATCTATTTCTTTTAAATATTTCTTACAATAACAAAATCTATTTTTTTTTTTAATTGACAAGGAAACATTCCCAAGTGTAAATCTCAGAATAAAAGCATACCTATATAAATTTGTTATTGGGTAACAGATATATAATGAATAGTAACTAATAAGAGCAAAATTCATCATTTATATAATCTCTATCGATATAAACTATTATATTTTCGATATAAGCAAAAACGTACATATATCAAATATATTTAAATTTTTACGTATAATTGACGATTCTACTTTATTAATTCTGGCTTTTTAGCAAAATAAAATTTTTTTTGATCGCCGAAATTATTTCAAAATTTATAAATTACAATAGAAATAATGGAATTTACACATGCAAGTATTTCCTTGTGAATTAAAAAGTATTCTTTTGTAAAAGTCTCTCTTTATATTTTGCGATATTTTTATAATTTTATTTTTATATGTGTATCATATTTTAATGCTACTTTAGGTGAACAATGGTTCCACGATAGAAAACTGATCGGGCCAACGTTCCATTTTAATGTATTAGATCAATTTGCTATGATTGTGTTTGAAAAGGCAGAGATTCTGACAAAGTGTCTCCAAAAAGAGATAGAAAAGAATCCAGAAGAAGCCATTAATATTTTCCCTTTTATTATCAATGCTGCTCTCGATATTATCTGCGGTAATGTGTCATGTTTTTAATTACATTGTATATAATTATAATATTTCGTGAGAAAATACGTTTTATTTATTGATATAGTCATTTTATGCAGCAAACTTTATCAATTAATTTACGAATAATAAAAAAAATATATAAAGATGCTAGAAGGGTCATCGCTGTGCTTTATTAGGGGTGAGGAGCGTGTTGATACTATCTAGTATCAGTGTGCTCCTGATAAAGTGAACGGCAAGATTCACGAAACATTAGCATTAGCAACGGACAAAAACACGGCGATTACTCGTAAACTTTCTAACATTCTTGAAAATAATAGCCATGAAAAAAGCGTTATGTAAAGGGTAATTTTAATTATATTATTACAAGCAATATGACAAAAGGGTTTATCAATAATACTAATTATTATCTTACAGAAACAGCAATGGGTGTAGATATACATGCTCAAGAAGTTGTAACCAAATATACATCAACAGTACACCTGTCAGTTTTTAAAATTCTTATACTGCTATCATACTGTCCAACGCCATTTTCCAACATGAGTGTGAATAATTATTTTCCATATCTTTGTTTGCTGATAATGAAAAAAATCTGTTAAAATACGTTACAATTTCAAGAATAATGACATTAAAATGATAAATTTAAGAGTTTTCATAAAATTATAAATAATAAATGTTTTAATTATTAAAAAATGTTTTAATTAAATTTTTGTTAATACTATGCGAAAAGAATTTTTAAAACTTGTTTTGCATTTTGTTTTGTTTCGATATGTTTTTGTTTTCACGATATAGCAATTTGGTAATAATTTTTTTCTCATGTGCGTTACATAAAAAAGACATTTTGAATACATGAAAAATTATATTATAACAACAGGCATTTTAAATTTAGAAATTTTAATGGTACTTTCGTGTATCATTAATGATAAATATCATTAATGATATTTTTAAAAATTCCCTTCGAGCTAACAATATCACAAAAATTTCAATCGTCATTTTTTGCTTCTTTAATGCTATTTGCCTCAAAATTATAATATGAGAGTCAGTTTCGTTCACAAATCAAAAATACATAAAAAATGATAAAAATCAATGTCTGAAACGGTCTAGCTGGATCTTAAATGTTTGTATGATTCTTGTGTGAATTTATATACTGATATTCTTCGTAATAATTGGCATATGAAGGAACAATGTCTCTTTAGGCGACGTAAATAAACAATATAATAATAATAATATATTATATTGTTTATTTACGTCGCTTAAAAAGACGTTGTTTTTTCATATGCCAATTATTGTGAAGAATATTACTAAAGCCTCGGTAGTCTAAAAGTTTAGAATGCTCGCAAGGAATGCAAGAGATCTGGATTCGATTCCCTACCGAGAAAATATTTTTCGCAATAAGATTCAATTATTTACAAATTTTAATATGTTATTCAGTATTATTAAGATCGTTTCGAAAATCCAAATAAGCATCAAAAATTTGTTAATCAATTTAACTCGTAATATTACTATGATAGTTTAATAGAGTTAGCGTTTTCAAGACCGAAATATCATTTCGGCATGCGTTTCTGAGATCACTATATATGTAATATATATAAAATCACACAAGAATCATATAAGCATTTAAGATCGAGCTAGACCGTTTAAGGCTTTAATTTCTAGTTTGTGTTATTACATATACGGTCCTATAATATATTATATTACATATATAGTGTATAAAAAATAGTTATTTATATTCGTGTTGCAAAAAATGTTTTGTCGGACAGTATTATTAATAAAACAGCTAATGAATTATTACTTGCATGTTAATGTAAGAATTAATGATAAATTTTAATAATTATTTACATAATATGTTTATACTTAATATGTTTATACTTAATTATTAAAATTACATATTATGCAGTTTACGTAAGTTAAACAACAATCGTACTTTTAGAACTTCCTCGTTAATAATAAAACGACTGCTTCGACCGTGGCATTGGATTGAATGGTTGTACTATTTACTGCCTACAGGGAAACAGTTTAAATCAGCGCTTGATATATTACATGGATTTACAAAAGAGGTACAGAAATGCTAAAAATGTTTGTATTTAGCCACTTAAAACAGTTAAAGTTTTACTAAAATGTTTTACTAAAATTTAGTTTTACTAAAATTTATATTATTTTGAAGAAATTCATATTTACATCTAACACGATAAATTCTATATAGGTGATAAGTAAGAGAAAAATTGAACGACAATCGCAAAACGGCCATACGGAACTCGAAAATGAAGACAATGAATTTAATATAGGTGCGATTGTAAATTTGAATTATATATTGTACTTTATACAGATTATAGGTACATAATTTATTTAGGTACTTTATAAATATTCCTTATTTAATAAAATTTATTATATTAGGTAAGCGTAAGAGACAGGCGTTCTTAGATTTATTATTAGATCAGAATGAGAAATCTGATACTCCTTTGACCGATGATGAGTTGAGAGCGCAAGTTGACACATTCATGTTTGAAGTAAGACGTCCGACATTAAAATTAAAATTAAAATTTTACAATTATTGTACATAAAATTTTCTGTTTAATTAAATTAACAAGGTAATATATCTGTAAAAAGGACATGTAAAATAATATAAAAAATGTTAATAGGGGCATGATACAACTGCAGTTGCGATAACTTGGACGCTCTTTCTTTTGGGCAATAATTTAAAGCATCAGGCAAAAGTTCACGAAGAACTAGAGGAGGTTTTCGGAGATTCAGAAACACCAGCCAGTGTAAAAGAGCTGTCGAAATTAAAGTATCTCGACAGAGTCATAAAGGAGACACTCCGAATATTTCCGAGTGTACCTCTAATCTCAAGGGAACTATCGAAAGATGTAAAAATAGGTAGGACAAAACTTTAACTGCTACTTAAGTAAGAATTTCAAAAAATGCACCAATATGTAAATTCATTTATAATAAAATAATTAAATTAGAGGTTCGAATCAAACATTTGCAAAATTGAATCGAATCGAATCTTTTCATGTTCGAAAACGAATCTGAAATCTTTACACTGAATCAAATCGAATCGAATCCTTTTGATTCAAAAACGAATCAAATTCGAATCAAATTTTCACATACTGACAGCTGAAAAAAATTTAAAAGCTGCAAAAATTCATTTTAAATGTATAAGTATATCAAAAAGTTGATAATATGACATAAACATATTCCGAAAATAAATATTTGCATATAGTAAATTATACTATAAAATGTAGTAACAACAAACATAAATTGAAAGTACGTAATCAAACATTTATTACTACCAAGAGTTGGAAATTGGTAGCAAAGTTAGATGGTTATTACGAAATTATTATATCACAAATATAATCATATTATTAATTGTTTTAAACAAAATAATTTGGTAATTGTAACCAAATAATCCCTTTTATGTATTAAAAAAATTTGTACAGTATCTTAACGAAAAAAATAATTTTTTGTTATTATTACTTTTTATTTTCCAATTTCAATTCATTATTTTCTGTTTTGCATATCTATTTTCTATCTTATTAATTACAATTAAAATATTATTATTATTATTAATATTAAAAAACACATCGTCGGTAAGATTTAACTTACGATCCCTAGAATGATAGTCTAATACATTTACGCTGAGCTAATCGCACTATTAGGATAAAACATTGCCAACGTTAATTATACTTTCTATTGTAACATTCTTAATTTCATGTCTCTGCTGTCAGTTTAATATTATTAATATTTGAAGAGAGTACATGAAACGAAATAATACGCTGGGATTTATCAACATAGTTTGGAAATGACAAAGCAATTCTCCTCAGTCTCGAGAGATCGTCTGATCATGACGTGTTTCGTCTCGCTGCGATCTGAGTGTTGAGTGTTTTATTTTCGAGCAAATGTGATCAGCTTTGATAATTTTTATTTCAATAGTTTTTTTTAAGGATAATGTTAAATTATCATTTATATAAATGTGGTCAAAAATACTATTGCTACACGGAAAAAAAAATTTGGAATAGTGGAAAATGAACGATCCAGAATTCTAATTAAGCTTACTAAATTTCTGATTAAATTTAGATTGATAGAAGGTTACATTCTGATTATTTTGAATTCTGGTAAATTGAAAAATGGTTATTTCAACTAAAATTCTGATAGATTATGAATTTATTTTGAAACATGTAGTATTTCGCTATTAAATTGACATTTTGTTATGTGCTCCAATTAATTATGTATAATTATGTTTAATTATATGTAATAATGTTTAATTAGATTTCGTATTAAAGCAACAATAATTTCTTATAAAAAACGCTATTGTATATTTTTATTAATATTATATGTAATCTTGGAGTTGTTGAGAGAGAGAAAAAGAGAAGGCTCTGAAACACCTTTATCATTTATTATTTATCAATATCGTCATGCCTGAGCGCGCGAATATCAGCTCCGATCAGTAAACTTTGATTGCTATTAATTTAAAAATTATTATAATCTCGATTTCTCATATTAATATTTTCGTCTTAGAATGTTGTCAAAGAATCCATTTTTGAAAGGATGTTTTTGAAGCACTGTATATATATATATTAATTTGTTTCTCTTTTATTTTATAGATAATTATATTCTTCCGAAAGGTATCACGGTCATATTGACAATATTATTAACACACCGAAATCCGGTGGTTTGGCCGGACCCATTGAAATTCGACCCGGATCGCTTTCTTCCAGAAAATTCAAAGAACAGAAATCCGTACGCCTATATTCCGTTCAGCGCTGGACCAAGAAACTGTATAGGTCAGAAATTCGCTCAACTCGAAGAGAAAATTGTGTTGACTGCTATCCTCAGGAAATGGAGAGTGAAAAGTGTGAAAACATTCGACACGATGAAATTCGAAGGTTCTCTCATTTTACGACCAAATGAAGATGTATTAATGCATTTCACGCCGAAGTAATGAACAATTTGCTATCAAATAAGATAGTTGGCCCAGAAATCATCAAGATACCAGTAATCGCAATTTCACGTATTAAAGATGTATTTTAGTGCTTTCTGTCGAGCATGAGACTTACTAATATTTTTATTGGTTCCAAGAAAGTATTTATAATATTTTGTTACATTATGAAACTCGTAAATATATGAATTCACTATTGATTAAATCGAATATGTGCAGCAACCGAGCCTATACGTGATTTCGATCAACTGTTTCATTATGAAGTTAAAAGACATTGTTTAAATCTCATGTGATTTTGGAGTATTGGCAACTTGCATGAAATAAATTGAGCTTCGAGTTATAAATCGAGATCGCAGTTTTATGTTTTCATCGCAGTTTTACGCACAAATTATTATTTCATAGGTTTTTTTTTACGTAATAAGTACTGGTTCACCGAAGCACGTTCGAGTAATCGCCATATCTGTTGATTACTGGGATTAGATGGAAAAAATTCTTGTAAATCGAATAATAATGTATTCAAACTTCAAATAAAAAAATTAGATCCATAATTGTTATCTAGACATTCTACGGACCAGTAATCATAGGCATAGTCGACTTAATAAATACGACTTAATAAATACTTAATAGATACGCAAGTAAATAAAGAATGTCGACCACTAAATCATTTCTGTGTCGATAATTGGTATTAGAACAAAGATCGGCACTATTCGAATAAAAACTAATTTTACAATTCTTTCTATTAAAACAGCTGTTAATATTTATTGAAAATTTGTAATAATGATAGTTCTGAAAAAAAAAAATTATAAAAATATATATATTATATATATT